GGGGGGTGGAGGGGGGTGGTTTTTTTTAGAAACTGTAGGACTAAAAAACTGTAAAGAATAAAAATGCTGTTATTGGAAAACTCTTCTACTTTTCAAGCTACAGCAGCAGAAGTTGAAAATACTGATAGTTCAGAGCTCTAGAACTGTTGTGTAACTTTAAAATAAAGTTTTATTCTGGCTTAAGTAGTGTATGTCTGAAATCTATCAATTGCTGCTGTATTGAATACTTGAGGCCATTGTTTCAGAAGGATAGTTTTCAAAAACTTCTGTATTGGTTAAGGCTTTGAGATAATACAATAATACATAAAGTGTAAAATTTCTGCATAGGTTTAAGCAATAGGTTATACCTGTATCTGTTCCACTTCTAATATTTGAAAAATGAATTTTAAGTCTCATTGCAGATGATCTTTCTGCAAAACTGCTTGGGTGTATCAGTGGACATTCAGTGACAAAAACACAGTCTGGTGTATAAAGTTATTCCTGTTACGTATTAATGAATGGGAACGTTACAATTTTCGTTTTTCCCAGGGTACTGATGTTCCACAGAAACAGCAAATAAATAATGCCGAAACTTACTTTGAAAATGCGAAGGTAGAATGCGCAGTACAAGCTTGTCCCGAACTGTTACGAAAAGGTATATTTTCACTTTTTTTGACAGCTAAGAAATTACAACTTTCTAAAGTGTAAAAATATGTAAATAAATGCTTTGTAATTGGTGCCACAGAATGTGTAATAGAAAAGGCTAATCCAGAGTTAACATTTTACAAAAGAAAAATACACACTGTAAAATGAAAACTGAAACATTGCTGTTAACAACACTTTGTATTTCATATAAAATTCAATGCCATTTCAGTCCAAGATCAGCTGGGGCAGGGAGTAACTTTCAGCTAGTTCTTTAGTGTCAGGTAGATTCTGGAGCTAATTCACTATCTGAAAACCAGTTTGTGACAAAATCACATCTTTTGGCACTGCTTTTTAGTAAAATAGCAAATTGAAATTATGAAACTGCTGAAAGCATTGCTTTTGTATCTTCCTTTAATTTTTTCAAGAAGGAAATGATTGAAGTTAAATTGGAATAAAACCTAATCTTGAAAGTGATTTTCTGAAAGAGAGAAGAGGCTGAAATCTGGCTGAAATCTTGGTCTAGGTGTTGAAGAGAACAGACTTTTCAGGGAGTAAGAAAGAATGAACCTTTTGACTTTTAATTTTGGAAAGTGCTTGTTCCTCCCACACTGAAAACACGGCTCCATGAAGCCTAACCGTGACTTTGGTGCTTCACGTGCATTCCTGTTTGTAGTCCAGTAGATGATGTAGAGAAGGAATCATGATGGCTTTGGGCCTTTTCTGCCCCAGAGGAAGAACTGTTACAACTCACGCCAGTGGTACGCTACTGATACGGAGTCTTCTGTCATGTCCTAGGAAGTAGATCTGAGCCATTTCTACTGAAAGATTTAATGTAAAAATCGGTGTGCACCATGTAATGTGGCTTAGCCAGAAAATAAGGGTCTTCACGCCTTGTGTGTGTGAAGAACTGTGTGGTGGTCAATTCAAAATAGTAAAATATTACTACACTTGGTTCATCTTTGCAAAGAAAGGCACTTGTTTGCACGTTCTAAAACATGCAGAGTAGTGGGGCGTTTATCATCTTGCGATTAAATAGGAGGTCTTGAAATAGCAAACTCCATTGCCCAAGTTGCTTTTAACAGGACCTTACCAGGATGCGCCGATTTCCACAAAAGCAATGTCAATTTTTCAAACCAGCATGCTGTTTGCTGGATCTGATGTGAAAAATGCACGTGTATCTTGGATTTAGATGAAAGGCAGGCTCTAAAGTGGGGTCAGTAATTTGTCTAAAACTGGAAAATCATAAGTAAAATGTAAAAGCAAGCCATAACGTGCCGGTTTTGCTTTTTTTAGACTTTGAGTCAATGTTTCCAGAAGTGAATGCCAACCATTTAACAGTGTTAACTGTCACCCAGAAGACTAAAAATGATATGACTGTCTGGAGTCAAGAAGTGGAGGATGAGAGAGAAATGCTGTTGGAAAATGTAAGTAGCTGACAGCAGCATCAGCATATTGTTGTTTGTAGATGAATCTTCTGTGAACTGTGTCTGTATGTTGGTCCATTGCTAGCTCTGGTAGTAATATACTCTATTACTTTTTCGAGCATTTTTGAGCTAATCCTATGTTCTCTTACTGATAAAATGGAGATAACTTTTTTCCAGCTTTGTAGCTTTTTGACTACCCTACGGGACGTGTCTCGTAGAACTATTAAATTCTTTATAGTGGGGTGAGTCAAAGTATGCTAAAATGTTGTAAAATGCTACAGTAAATCAATGAAGATACTTGATTGTTGCCCTGTTGCAGTTAGAGCAGCAACTATTTTTCTCACCTTATTTCAGCTTTAGTGCAATGCATTTTGTAGGATTTCACTGCTCTCTGTTTTTCTGTGATGTAATTGAGATTCCAGTACAGAGTCTGTCAGTGAGTGCATCCTTACTTGTAAAAAAGTGGTTGCTCTGGTTTTTTTGGGTTTGGTTTTCCTTTTTTTTTTTTTTTTTTTTTTTCCCCATTCTGATCGTAGGTATGGTTAATGCTTTTAGCCTGGGTATCAGTTATATTAATTACAACTTAAATCATCCTCACGAACTTTGTCTCTTGTTCTGTTGCCGCTAGAGGTCTCTCTGAAAATCGCTTTATTTCACATTCTTCAGATTTTTTTTTTTCTGTGTGTACTCCAGCAGGTGTCAGTGTTCACCACTGCTGGCATTCTTTTCTTAGCACCTCAAAATACATCATTTCTCTATATTATTTGTTATAATTTTTCTGAAACTAGTAAAAATCATCCTGTGGGTTTTTCATCTGTATTGTGATGGTTGTATTTATGTTTAAAAATAGTCTGGTAATGTCCTTTTCAGTCCTGTGAATTGCAAATGTGGTCTGTATAAAGCAGTGCAAGGGCTACCACAAAAAAGGAAGAAGCAGTCTGAAGGATCATCGTAAAGATTGCACACAAATTAAAATTCCCTTCATTTTAGTGTGTTCTTCTCTTTGAATTATTTATGGTCTGTTGGCCTTTGGCATTGTAATCTGGTCTAATTATATGTTAATTGGCATCTTTCTTCCTTGTCCACCTCCCTGTCAAGTCTAATATAGTCGTTGCAGGGGTGTTAGGATGTTGGATGTAACCTCCCGGCCTAAAGGTTACTAACAGCAAATTCACAAGAAAATGGTCTGTTTGTTGCTTCATAGATGGTTAGAAGTAACCTTAAAAATACTAATTTAATGTGAGAGGCTTGTGCTAAAGTAATGAGGGTTATGTACAGCCAAATCTAAATGTTTACAGTAGTGAATCTCGAGTGTTTATTAACCGCACTCTTAAAGTAATTGCTGAGGGGTTGTTACAGCACTGGATCAAAAGATGTACTGCATCAGAAAAAGCTGTCTTCAGATGGCTTACATATGTTTGTGACTTAATTTACAGTTGAAACAGTTACTCATCAGAGCCATCAAACCTCAAAATACAGAACAGATTACTGTAAAGGATAAACTTCCCTTATTTTGGACCATTAAGGGCCTGAAGCTGAGTAACTATAATAATATTTCTCTAAATTTTGTCAAACCTTGAGCTGCGAAGGGCAATAATTATAGAAGCCGATCCAATTTTTGTAACTGAAAATAAATAAAGTATTACATTTATTCTGAAGTTAGAAATACTTCTTTTTTATGAGATTAGGGAATTTCTTACACGTTTTGAGGAAGCTACGTGAATTCTGTTTGCACTGTAGCTCAGTGTATTCAGTTGTGTAGATTTTTGTACTTGGATGTGTTTTTCTCAGTGCGTGAATGGTTTTAGAACGCTCGCATATCTCGACTTCTTTTGTGGTTTTTTGTTTCTCACTCACCTTTGCAGGTTTCTTCAGAAGTTTTCTGTGGGCCCCTGCTGGCCCTTATAACAAGGGTTGAAAACTGCTGGTCTGGGTGATTAAAAGCACGTAACTGAGGTCTCCTGTTGTTGCTGATTTATCTGTGGGGGAAAAAGCATGGTCTGTAATCTGTAGGCTGTGTAATTACTTTGTGCCCTATGTTGTGATGTCAGAATACAGGAGCACAGCTTTAAATCTACCTGGTTGAATTTTCTTCTGTATCTGACAAACAGGTAACTGTAACTCAACACCAAAGATTTAAAAAACAAACAAACAAAAACCCCAACAACAACAAACAAAAAACCCCAATCCCCAAAAAGCCAAACTTACTTTCTCAAATTAGCTGATGTGAAAAGTTTGGGGGGGGGGGGGGTTGTGAAATTTTTGGGGGGGGGGGGAAGTAGATTCTTTAAGCTGTCTCTTCAGAGAAGGGAGGTTTCTGATGATGTGTTACCGAACAGGGAACTTCTTGGCATGTTGCTTAATTGAAAATACTATTTTCAGGAACATCAGCTGGTGTGCTCCGGTAGAATTGAAAGATGACTTAAAACTTTGGTTGTCAAATAGTGGGGGAGTTGGAAATCATCATTCATCCTGACCACCAGTCCATTGCAACAAGAGACTTGGTGTAGGTTGGCGTAAAAGTCAAGTGCTTATGGACCTGTTTGCTATCATGATGCAAAACTAAAACGTTCTTTAAAATCATTTGCAGTTCTACATTTGTAGTGCAGGAAGAACTACATAATACCGTCCTGTTGGCTGAGATAAGACCTTACAGCAAAACTATGTTTTTCGTATACTTACAAAAATATATTTAATGCTACATTTAGTGTCAAATTTGTGGAGTTTAGGTGAGATCTGTAAACTCGTGGAAATAACACAGAAATACCTGAAGTAATGGTTGACTTCTTAAAGAGGATGACAGGTATGATTGCAATCTGCATGAATAATCAAAGCAATTACATTATTCCTTGTACAAGCTGTTAATCCATTACTGACTGGCACAAGGAACACTTTTAAATCTCATGATTGGAGTAGTCTAATGTATGCCATTAATTCTAATCCTCTTAATATTATTAATATTTTTATTGAAAGTATGCTGAATTTCTCACTTATTAGTAGAGGCCAAAAGAAATCTGTGCTTGTTCATTTTCAGAATATTCTGTGTGTGTTCTGATGTGTGTATATATGTAACAAAAATCTCACTTGATATCCTTCTTTCCCTTTATTTTCTTTTAAGTTCATCAATGGTGCTAAGGAAATTTGCTATGCGATTTGTTCCGAAGGCTATTGGGCTGACTTCATTGATCCATCCTCAGGACTGGCAGTAAGTTATGTGCTGTGCGGAATATGCAACGGACGCTGCTACATCCTAACTAGCAGTGGTATTTGTATTCTTTATGGGTTAAATCCAACCTTTTCCTATTGACCAAAAGCTGTTACCATAGGATAGTTCTTTCATAAATAAAGATAGGATAGTAAACCTGGAGCTAGTTCCCATACTGTGTCAGCTGTCATTGCTGTTGGCAGTTTGGAGAACGTTGTTCAGCAATGAAGTTGAATTTTAGATAACTGTAGAAGTTTTATTCCCAAAAGCTCTTGGTTACTGCACTGGTTATATCCTCCTGAGGTAACTTGGTAGTCCTGACACCTATTTGTGTAGACACAGGGTTTTAAAAAGTCTTTTTGCACTAGTTAATGGTATCTTTGTTACGTAGAAAATATGGATAGCTTGTTCCTATTAAACAGCGTTGGCATTCATTATCAGATTACACCAGTTCTCTGGAGGACCTGACAGTTTCTTACCAAGACATCTGTGAAACAGAGTCTTAAAACTTACAAGAGAGAACTGAGAAAGCTTCTGCCAGAGCATGAGTGTATATGTGTTTTTGTCTAAGAACTGTTAAAATCGTATCATAGTTGAATATAATCATGGCAAAGCTCAGTTTCGTGGGTTTTTATTTAAAAACACTATGAAAGGCAGTGATTTCTTGTGTCAACAGAGACAAATAGGTTTAACAGGGGATGCTTATAAGGTGAGCAGGCAGTTGAAGGTGTGTGTAGTGCTTAAAAGCTTCCCAGAAATTCATGCATCTAAGGAATAGTTACGGATTGATGAAAGTAGGGTTCTGTCTTTGGGCTCCAATTCAGTAGTAACATCCTCACCGACAACCTGTTCATCAGGAGTAGGCTTTTGATCAGGAGCTTCCTCCTGAGGTAAAGCAGCTGAAATACCCGTTTCCAATTTACACACATTTTTGTTCCTCAAACAATCTTTCTTTCTGTGGGGCTTGTTGAAAGGTACATGTCTTATTTTTGCGGTTTCACAGAAGGGTTCTGTCCTTAATGCCTGTAGAAGTAGGAGAACCTTTCCAAAGCACTTGAGGTTTTTGTATGTATGATTGATTAGACATTCAAACACACTGATACACCTTCAGCGTTCTGTCAGTGACAAAGGGAAATCTTTAAAATGGGGCACCAGTAGAACCAGAGGTGCTCTGCTTAGTTTCCTGTGTAGATTTCTTGAATAAAACTGTACATAAAATTTCCTCCAGCAGGTGTAACTGGTACTTCTGGGCTTAGGTTTTGTTTTAAAAAGAGGTAGTTCTGATGTTTTAAATTACATTTTCCATTTCTTGGAATTGTTCATGTGAAAAATTCTTTTTTTTTTTTTTTTCCCTACCTAGTTTTTTGGACCTTACACAAACAACACCCTGTTTGAAACAGATGAACGCTACCGCCACTTGGGATTTTCTGTTGATGATCTTGGCTGCTGCAAAGTTATTCGTCATAACATCTGGGGTACTCATGTGGTTGTAGGAAGTATTTTCACTAATGCTGAACCTGATAGCCCTATCATGAGAAAACTAAGTGGAAACTAGCAGTCAGCAGGGTTTCACAAGTTCTTACAACCTTTGCATTCTTTTACTTGATGATTCTTTCTAAGCATTGTCAGGAAATGCCACACTTTAAAGTATTCTTCGATAATAAAATAGCTGTTATTTATTTTAGCCTTTGTGAATATGTGTTCACCGCATGTGACTTAGAATATTAATTGTCAGCATTCAAACAGATACCTTTATGTGCCACGTGAATTTTAAGCTGTGAGTTTCCTTCATCTTGAATGAGTTTAAACATACATGTACATAGCTATGTGCATATCCTTTTTTAATATTATCTTACAAGCCACACTTCTTAACCATTTTGTCTTTCAGTGTCTAGCAGCTCTGTGCTCTTAGTATTAAAAATCCTGATCCACTGAAGTTTCTAGGAATTTTGCCACTTACTGAAATAAGTAAGTGGCAAAAAAAAAAAGTGAAATAAGTAATACAATTGTTCTCCCAGATATAGAACTTAATAAAAACTGCAGAAGTTAATGCGGGACTGATCACTCATTTGCTGTTCTAAAATGAGAGTAATGAGGTAAGCTTTCAGTGGTCTCTAACTACAAGTAATACTTCAATAGGGAAGTGTTCACTCAACTGCTATATCCAGAGACTCAGTAAAAAGTCTTAAATTACTCTAGAATCAGTCATCTCAGTGTTTTTTGTCTTATGTTGCTTGTGATTTTATTTTCTCAGTGTTTGCTAAATATATTTAATTAGTTTATCTATGTAAATGTAATTTAAAGTTGCTTTTGTAACTTTCTTAGGTCATTAAATACATTGTGGAGAAAAAAAAAAGATAATAGGGCAATGCTTGGATATCATCATTGTTTTCCTGTACTTGGATGCAATTTAGAATTGTCTCTGTGTAATTTTGAAATGCCTGCGCAAAGAGCAATTGTGATCAATTATTGCAGTTGTGATCAACTATAAAAATATTGGAACAGGAAGGTTTCAGTAAACTAGTCGGTCTCTTCAGGTATCATAAAACCAGTCAGGTCAGTTGAAGTTACTGGAGGGAGAAGAGTGAAGAAAATTCAAGGCACCTGAAATTCCAAAGCTCTGCCAGCTGCCTCACTACAGAGACTAACTAACAAACTAGATTTTAATCTCGTCGCAGGCAGTTACTGGGGCCATTTGTTCATACACCACTGCGGTAGCTGCGCCAGTTCGTGTAACAGTGGGAATCCATCGGTCTTGTCTCAGTCAAAATTGAGTGCAACTTTTGTCTGGATACCAGCTGCACAAAATGAGGATCTGAGAGGTTTAGCTTCCTGTCAGATGCTAGGAATTTTAATCATTGTGTCTTTTTCCAATGTTAACTAACAATTATGGGTGTAAACCTTGTTCTAGGTTTGTATACTACTTCTGTTCCCGGCTCAGGGTCTAAGCCAATTATCACCAAAGTCTTTTTATTGGCTTTAATGGGTTTAGAACCGGGTCCTTTACCAAGTGCCTGTATCTGTCCTCATTAATGATTGCTGCAAGCCCATAACATTGCTGGATCACGGAGGTGGAAGTGAGGACTTTCTGCTGGAGAAGTGAGTGCTGTCTACTAAATTCACTCACTGAGCCAGCAGTGCGGAGGTTATCTTGCTCACCTGCCGTCGTTGTCATCGCTGTTGGCTCTAGCCTGCGCACATTCCAAGGGTGAAGTGTATGGCTGCTGAGGCAGGATTTATTTGTTTATCACTTTGTCATGGAATTTGTGCTGTATTTCCAGAGCCCAAGTTCTTGACCTCCTCTCTCCTGTCCAAGAAAGCTGTATCACTTCAAAATCTTTTATTGGTAATTTTTTTCTCTCATTCTCCTCAAGAGGATTAAAAAAGCTTGAGAAGCTGCAATGTGTCTTGTCTGTTTGCAAAATACAATTTTGCGGCACACAAATTAGCTCATTTGATAGGAAAGCGTTAGTGTCTCACTGGACAGTAGAGTACGCTTGTGGAGAACTTTGGATAAGTATTGGAAAAATACATTCTGTGAAATGGTTCACATATATTGTAACTCTGTTGAAGACTCTTGATGCCATCTTTTCTTCAGGTGACTGCTGTACTTGCCCCTTTGTTTTATAAGGGGTGGGAGCTGTCGGGCAGCTATCTAAATAAAGCTTGGGACATGAGTTTTTGAGGTTTTATCCTTTAAAGGTTTGTCCTGGAAAGGGCTTTTACAATGGCTTTTCAAACTGCTTCAACCTGAGGCAAAAATCTCATGGAAGATAGTGGGACTTCTGCCTTGACTTCACTAATACTAATGTTTCTTGCCAGAACTTGAGGGGAGGTACGATTTCCTGATATTTTTCTAAATAAAATTTTCTCATACGTACTGATTCTCAAAAGAGGATAGGACTGTTCCAGTTCTTTCCCTCACATCAGAAGAGCTATACTGTGAATGAATTCACTTGCTACTATGAAATAAAAGTTCTTGAATACAGTGTGATTAACTGTACATCTGATAATAAAAAACAAAACTACTTTCAGTGTTAGAAAATGAATTCCTTTCTAGGGTAAAGAAACACATGAGAAGAGCTATTGTATGTAAGGTCACAGCTGCTCTGTGGGAAGTACTATTTTTCTCAATTCAGTGAGGCTATTAATTTCTAGATGTTATTAGTTCGTCACCTAATCTACCACAGTTTCTTTTTTGCAATAAATTCCATAAAAACTTAAAGTGGTGATGCCTATAGCATTGCAAGAGCGGTGCTACCTCTGTGTTTGCAAGCACATGAGTATACATGGAGGATACGCTTAAAATGATGCAAGTCTAGAAGTTACTTGTAGTCAAAAGGCTAAAGAAATGTAGGTGAAATGTTTGTTACTTAGGTGCCCTAAGATATGAGGAACTGAGCTAAATGTTTTTCCACAGAATCCTAGAATTGTTTAGGTTGGAAAAGACCTTTAAGATCATCCAGTCCAACCAGTAACCTAACACTGCCAAGTCCACCACTAAACCAATTAAGGGGAGAGTAGCAGTTTTGTGTTTCCTGGCTTGGTGGCTGGATTAGTTTTTAATGAAAGTAAAAACTAGGAATCATTAAGGTTGGAAAGGGTCTCTTTCCAAGAAAGTGCCACGTCTGCCCGTTTTTTGAACACTTCCAAGGATGGTGACTCCACCACCTCCCTGGGCAGCCTGTTCCAATGCCTGACCACTCTTTCTGTGAAGAAATTTTTCCTAATATCCAATCTAAACCTCCCCTGAGGCAGCTTGAGTAAAGGTGAGGACAAAAATTACGGAGTTGTCTTTTTCTCTGCTAAAACACCTTAGTACTGATCTTACATGAGCTGTTATCCCGCTGAAGTTCTACACTGCCATAGTCCCCTAAATAGCTGGTGGCATCGCTGCTAAGGCCGGTAGCAGTGACAGGATCTTAATAAGTTACAAAAATAAATTTGAAACCAGGCTTTGAAAGTTCAACAGGGATAAATAGGCAGAACGAGGTACTGAGCGAAAGCCCTCACTGCGTGGCTGAGCTCAGCGAGATAGGGCAACGTTGCTTTGTTGGTTGGCTCAGTACAGGGAAATACTGCAGTGTCTTGAGGTCTCCCGTGCCGTGATTGGGATCTGTCCACCTGAAGGCTCTTAAGGTTTAGACTCGGTGGTAGCTTTTACTGGTAGAAATGTCCAAGTAGCAAGTACAAAAAGCTTCTGCCCGCAGTAAGCGGAACGCTGACATGGTTTTCAGTGCCATGATGTTCAGATTTAAGCTGTGCTACAGAAAAGCTAATTGTACGAGTTGTGGTGTTGATTTTTGTGGTGGGTAGGACAGAAGGACAGTATTTTAACAGGCTGAGGATTGTGTATGGAGGAATCTTCTAAATCCTCAGCCGCTTTGGTTCAGTGAATTCATTGATTTATTTACAACACTTCCTCTTGTAACAGTGCGGGTTTGGGAATTTAGCTTTATATTCAACTGTGCTTAACTTGTGAGAGAGCAAATAAATGACCCTGATTCACTGAGTTAAAAATTAACACTCTACAGTCTGTCACGTGGAGGGAGTTAAAGTGCTGTCAGTGATGTAGAGCTGAAATGTAATCACAAAATAATTGACTTGCTTCATGTGCCCAGTCCTTTTAAAGCCTCTTTTTATTAAGAGTTGCTTCTTTTTTACTCCGCAGCCTCAAAATGCTCACTCAAACCAACGTTTGCTGTGCATACATTTATAGAGAACAGGAAAAACAAGCCAGGTAACCAAACATCTCTCATTTATAAATGAGCGTTAACAGCCAAGGACTCGCTTCTCCTTCCACTAGCAGCTGCCTGGCTGGAAAAAAGCTCTCCAAATAATCCAGAGGCTCAAAGGGATCTCTTGGGGAAGGGGCCCCCTTTGCTCCGACTGCCATCGTGGCTGCAGGCTCGCTCCCCTCCCTTGCTAACTGCGGTGTCGTTCAACGAGAGATGCTCTGGTTCATAAACCCGCGGGAAGGCGCGGCTGGAACTTGGCAGCTCCGAGTAGCTGATCCAGAAAGGGGAGGCCGCCGGACGTCGGCTACTTTGTCACGGTAACATACGGAAAGCTTGGTCTGTGAGCTTCTCTTACTCGAAAAGCTGCTGCCTGGGCAGGCTAAACTAATTGCAGAAATCGTAGGATCGTAGAATCGTTTAGGTTGGAAAAGACCTTTAAGATCATCCAGTCCAACCATTAACCTAACACTACCAAGTCCACCACTAAACCAAGTAAGGGGAGAGTGATAATTAATTTCATGTTCCCCAGCTTGGTGGCTGGATTATTTTTTTAGTGAAAGTAAAAACTGGGAATCATTAAGGCTGGAAAGGCCCTCTAAGATCATCAGCCCAACCATCAACCCAACACCCCCATGCCCACTAAACCATGTCCCAAAGTGCCACCTCTGCCCGTTTTTTGGACACAAACTGAGCTTTCATGGCTCTTGACAAAGTCTTGCTGAGTACAAACACTACCAGTACACTTGAGTTCACCAACTCCTGTTGAAACCCAGGTGTCCTGTTACCACAGAGCTTTGATTAGTTACAGACTCGGGCTAACACTAGGACTGGCATGCAAAATAATGTAGCCGTGAATTATTTCCTGAGGAAGACAAGGCAGCATGCATTAGTGCTGCTGCTCTGAGACTTGCGTGTGCTATCAGGGGGAAAAGCCCTCACTA